AAAAAAAAAAAAATAATAATAATAATAATAAAATGTTACTAGAATTTGACCTAAATATTTGGAGAGAAATTAGAATATATCCAATGGAAGCAGACTAATATAGAAACATGAGTACTATGGTATTTGAGGTCCTCAATCACCCATTTTTTGACCTTTCGCCAACTTTCTAGGCTGTAATCGTCCCATCTGTGAAATGATGAGCATGACCTCATCATTACCATAGTTGCTGTGATGTAATTCATCTTTAAAACTTAATGTCTGTCTAAATTGAAAGCATCCACATGTCAGTTTCTACTTAGAAATTTGTGGTTCTTATATTCGTATAGCTTGAAGGATCATATTTTCTTGCCATTTATGTTTAAAATGATGTGTAATCTGGAGACACAGTTTTTCCAGTAGTGAGCAACATAGGTAGAAATCTGGGTACAGGCTGCATATATTTTTACATTGTTAATGGTTGAATTGAAGAGGTTTCAAATTTCAAAATCTCTTTACATTAGAAATACTCTTGGCATAGGAGTATGGCATATTACATATTGTGAACTAAAGGCATATGAAGAAATTATCTGTTTAACAAAGTAATTTTACTGGAAGTAACTCAAAATTATGAATATTATAATTCCAAATTTATCTCAGCAGGTTAGCATGATTACATAGTGACATTTTGTTTTATAATGATACAGGAGATCAGGTAGGCTATACTTACCGCTGTTTCATAGCTAGTGAGATAAATTATTTTCTGAAAATCTCAGTTGGGCCAATCTCTGAGCCAGATATGCTAACTTTTGCCTTTGGGGTTATGTGATTTACTGGGGTCAGATTAGTCAGGTGTTTGTATAGTAGTCATTTTTACTATATGCTGTGTGGACAAATTGAAAAGAAAGGACTCAATTTTTTTCTTCCCTTAAATCTAATTGGAAATGTAATACATGAACCTAAGACAGAACATTTTACTCAGCAATATATTAATTAGTGGCAATTTAAATATTTGATGATTGCTAGGTAGCAAAGAATTCTCTAGATCCTGAGGAATTTATGGAGAAAAGATGTTTCTAATTGGGTTTTTTGAGGATGAGGAATGTATAGAGGCAAAGATACCTAGGCAGAAGGTATGCTTGCTTACAAGTGATAGAGGTAGGAGCTTTAGTAAACTCATTCTTTTCTTCTTCATTCTGAGAATTATAGATAAACTAAGAAAACATGGCTGAGGACCTTAGTATCTTTAGGAACTTAAAGGAAAATGTAGGGTGTGAAAAATAGTACAGAGTCTGTTACAGTGGCTCATGCCTATAATCCCAGTACTTTGGGAGGCTGAGGCTCAAGGATCACTTGAGGTCAGAAGTTTGAGACTAGTCTGGACAAGGTAGTGAGACCTGGTCTCTACTAAAAACTAAAAATATTAGCCGGGTGTCGTGGTGAGCACCTGTAGTCCCAGCTACTTGGGAGGCTGAGAGGTGGGAGGATGACTTGAGGCCAGGAGGTGGAGGCTGCAGTGAGCTGTGATCACTTCAGTGCACTCCAGCCAGTGTGACAGAACAAAACCCTGTCTCAAAACAAAACAAAACAAAAACAGAAGAGTCACAGCCATATATCTGGGCTGTATAATTGTTAACTATGTGAGAAACTTCTTGAAGAGTTGTGTGTTGAGAATGTATGCCTTAGGGCAATACTACTCATCTGTGTCTTGGGACCAGTGTTAGTCCTTGAATTGTCTGTTAGAAGATAAACACTGAAAACAAATGTCTAGAGACTTCTATAACAATCTGATAATACTGTGACATTCAAACATGGAATCATTTTTCTAGTAATTCATTTTTATTTTATATAATTATAGGTCCATGATGTGTAGAAGATTTTTTTTAGTAAGTTATCTTTTTTGATGTTTGAGAAGCACTGATTTTCTTTTATTTGCCACATTAGGAATGCCTAATTTTATAGATCAAAAAAGTAACCATTATTTGAGTTTTGTTAAAAGTAAGAGTTAATATACAAGAGATTATTACATGAATAAACCTTAATAGCAAGATAGACAAAATTAAATTTGAGCACTGTGATGAAAAGAAGTAGTTTTGAGAGTCACTGTGAATCACAAATGTGATCTAGACAAGCATTAAAATTTCCTGTGAGAAATTATTTGGGAACAAAGTTATCTTTACAACAGAATTAGATGTTGGAATATAGGTAGTCATAAATGAAGTGGATCAGTGCTATGATATCTTGCTAATGATTCTTGCCAAGATAGAAGTTTTTATGTAGGGCAACCACCTGTGATTGAGGCAAGTCCTAGGCAAAATGAGAAATATTTCAAATTTGTTCTAGCATGCCTGGCTTCCCCCTTTATATTTTTCTGGGCTATTGCCCTTCTTCACCTTCTTTTTTTGTTCACCTAGTCACATGCTTATTCAGCTTCCCCCTACTACTTTCATTTATTAAAGCAAAAAGGGTCTGATACCCATCATTTATATTTCTTTGGTTTACTTTAGTATGCTATTTCAGTCAATATGCAGTTTTACCTGGATATTTGCATTATATTTCTAATAGTGAGATAACAGATTTTTCACTTTTGTAAATTTTTTTTCAAGTTTTAATAACAAGTTAAATTATTTGGGGTTAGGAGGCAGAGACTTCAGAATTATCATGTTTATTTCTTCTGTTCTTGCTTTTAAAGCTTTTGGTTAGGACTAGGGGAGTAGAGACCAAAGGGAGCTGCTGGTTCTTAGCTTATTTGTGAGGAGATGTGGATGCTAGAGATACAGTTCTGGATTT